GCAGTTTCTTTGAGTTACTGTATTTGTCTATAATAACTCCAGTTTATTTATTTTTTTATAATGATGAAATTTCTTTATTACCTTTAGTTAAATCACTTTCACTTTTGGATGAAGGAAACCGAGAACACCATATAATTAGTTATATAAAAAGTTTCTTATTAAAAAATTTACATTTTTATTTAAATAGCTAGAAAAAATAGAACCTAACTAAGTTTTTATTAAAAAAAAAAGCTAAAAATTTTATTGGTAGATATTTTCTAGGTTTGATAGATTTTTTTTTCAAGTGGATGGTAAGTATTTTTTTTGTGTCATTGGATCGTCGTGATCGTCGAATTGAATATTTGAGAAGCTCTAGCGAAGAAACAAAAGGTGATAGGACCTTCCACTTAAGCTTAAATTAAAGCTTGAACTTTGGACTACAATCCCTAAATATACCATCCCTGCATATTGAACCGATAGTCATAGAAATTTATTGAATAGCCAAAACTGATTTTGAGACTATTTTCAACAGCACAATTTTCAAGTATTTTTTTTTTTTTGTTCAATAAATGACTATAAGTGACTATCGGGTAAAGGTAAAGGGATCGTATTTTCAGGGATAGTCGTCGGACGTTCTAGCTTTAATTAAAGCCTAAGGGGAAAAACAATTTTTTTACACTTTTACCACGTATTTCTCAAAATCTGTAGCTCATTACGGATTCGTAATCAGCACAAGAAAGTATATAAAAATCTGTTTTAACATTTATAAACAATATATAACAATAAAGATTTTTTTTTAAGAAGTTTACCCAAAAATCTATGAAGACTTTTTATATAACCCAATTTATTAAAAGTTACGGCGCGTGAAATTTAAAATTTCACTGACTTATTAACCTGCCCTCGTATTTAACACGGTCCTTAACATTACATATGTATATACTAATATATAGTTTAAAGTACATTACTGCCACGTCATTGTTAACTCATTTTCTTGCATGTAAAGGGTTGCTTTTACTTCTCCACTGTTACTATGCAAGCTCCGTATTTGTACTTTTCTATATTCATTTATAGTATACAAAAGTATTTCATATATATATATATTTACATGCATACATACATATCTACATAAGTATCTAAACGAAGAAAAGTTAAACGTTTGAAAATCTCCACACTGCATAAGGGGAATTAAGAGCAAAGCATTTGCCCACTCACCTAGAATAAAAGTTTCACTTTTCTTCATCTATTCATATTCTTTGTTCATTTTCGCCGTAGGTATACATACATACACAGATAAAAAAAACACCTAATAAAAAGGAACCAAACTAATAAGATATCTCTACGGTTTTTTATTAAGAAGATATTCCTCATGCTTCCAGGGGGCAAATTTGTATAATAAAACCAAAAATAAATCTTTTGGTTTTTATAAGGTTGTCTAATTAAAACCTAAAAATTGGCATAAAAAAATTAACGCCGACCTGTTCTCGATCTCGTGACCTACACACGAAATCAAGAAGACATCCCTGTGGAATTTTCTTCGTTTTTTCGTCTGTTTTACCCCTTAGCCCAGAAATTTTTCATAAAGATAATCTTCTTGTTTATATGTGTCATATTTTTCTCTGTGTGCATATCTTATCGATCTATGCTCACAACTTTACAACCTGCCGGCTTTGCACTTATTGTTATCAATATTTTTATGCGAAAATATATTTTTAATACTGCCTTATTTTAAGCTTCTGTTTCTTAAGAATTGTCACTCAATCAAATCCATCCAATTAAGGTTGTCGCTTATTCGTTGAAATTTCCGACCAACTCAGCAGGTTGCAAAGGTTTTAAATTTCCCTGCAAGCATTATTATTGCCTTTCTTATTTTGTTTGTTGTTGTTGTTGTTTTATAAGCCACTTTTAATGCGATAAGCTAGTACTTTTGACTTTTCGTATTTTTATTGATATACCAGTGTTAAACGCTTGACATTTGATAAGCGAATTCCCACAGATATATATGCACGTATGTATATTTGTGTATGTATGTATTTATTGCATACATATATGTAGATACATATTTTTGTTTGCACCCCAAAAGAGCAAGCGACTCAATGAATTGGCAGCACCTTAAGAGTAACATTTTCACACAACCCCTTCATATGACCAAAGTTGCTTGCTACTTTGCTACTTAAAGGCAGTATTAAGCAGCAAGAATGCGGTTTTCCCACAACCCCTTCAAAATTCATTTACGTAAAAGTAGTGTAAATGTTTTTAATTATTTGAATACTTCGTTGCTACGACACCAGCCAACTCTACTCCATTCCGGCTGGCTTTTTGTAATCCACTCTTGCACTTTATTTCATGGCATTTCGCACGTTTCTCAGTTGCCACCCATTCACCCGCTATGCATGTAATTTTAATACTCGATTAAAGCCAACAAAAGTCAACGCTAAAACGTTTTAAATTGCAAGCAGCCAACGCGCAGCAATCCCGCGCCCAGTTTGCGCCCTTATTGCTTAGCCGCCCTTTCTGTATGCAAACAGTCTGTTAACCTCTTTGACCACTCGTCGCTAGTGACCCGTACAGTCTGTCTCCTGCGACTGTGATTTTTTGTGTGCTTCTCCTGCAAATACCGACCTCTCTTTTCCTCTTTTCTTCTCTGTTGCATTGCATTTTGTCTGGCTCGCTAGCTTTACTAGAGACATTCTAGTCAACCGAAGTGACCAGCTGAAAATTACGACATTCACATTGCCCTGACCTCTTTCGGTTTTGGCCAAGGTAACGAAAAACCCCAACAAAACAACAAGAATGTATGCAATGCAGTGAAATCAGACCACTAAAAAAATAAAAGTATCACAAAATATATGCAGCAATGTGAAAATAAAAGGTAACAACAACAAACCTTTAATGCATTGCGAAAAAAACTAAACTTAGCGTAAATAAATCAATACTTGCCGTATCAGTTTCCAATTGGCGGCTTGGGTGGGGTGATGTGGCTCGAAAGCCGCAGTGGATTGCGCTGAGTGGGAAAAATTCTTACCTTTCAATGGCTGCTAAAAACAAATTTTATTGCTGCGGTGCAACGGTACAGCGCTGGCATATACATACATATGTAAGTACAAAAGAAGCATTCGTTCGGTGGCTTATTTCATTGCAGATTAAAATAGCAGACAATTGAGCCGTAGACGAAAAGCAGAATCAGCGGCTATTCGTTCATTTGAATGTATGGCTTGTGGCATGTGTAAACAGTTGTCTAAATGCTTAAGCAGCAGTTTAAAAACAATTGGCTTAGTAGCTTTGTATTCGGATGAAACTATTATCAGGCCATAGTAGTATTATTCGACATAAAATAAATTTAAAGTAGAACTATGTACTTAAATTTTTTGTGACTTTATTGAGGGAGCGAAATATGTACATACTTAAATGATTAACCGTCGATAGGTTTTACCAACACACCTGTGTTTGTAATTGGCAGGGAAAGAAATTGAGTTCTCAGTAGAGGCGAAGTACATATAGGGAACACTGACGAAAAGGCTCTATTAAAACTCACAACTTTCGAATGTTACCAAAAAGAGACTTTACGGTAAAAAAAATTGAGGACATCACCCATCGTCGTCGAACCCGTGTGGCACTGGCC